CGAGATTGCCATCTCTCCCACGCGTCCAGATCGCAAACTCCTGGGCATATACAGTAGCGTCGATTATCTCCCTACTTCCAGTTTTGTACAGTCGTTCCGCTTCTTCTATAGACGTCGCCGATGTGAGCTATAGTACTGAATATAATCGCGAGGCTAGAGGTATAAGGGGCTACGATTCGTGGAACAAACGCTCAGGAAACTTAGTTGATGAGTAAGAAATATATTTAATTTCTGGTTCTTTAAACAGGACTTGAGTTATTAGCTCTTATTAAGGTGTGTAAAAATTAAGCGCAAAGCGGTAATTCAGGTGTCGAATGAAATAGGGTGCTGTGTTGGGCATGCAAGATTCCATAGCTGATGCAACGCGATTCCTAGGCCCTAAATATTCGGAAAGCAGATGTCGAAAGCCAGACATCAAAAACGTCAACTTCAGCTTCCTCGAACGAATCCGCGCATTGCGCGCACGAACATGGCAATAGTAAGACCGAGACTAAGTAGGCGGTGTGCACGGTCTACCCAGTGCTCGCCATCGAGCTCGGCATCACAGAGCTACTGTCCCTCTTCAACATCCGTGTGCTCGTTCATCTATTTTGCAAACAGAAATCAATCGTGATTCTTAGCAATCATGACAAGTTACTATTGTCAGATATGTAGCATGGACATGGCTATTGCGCGCATCCGGACCCCCGACGAGCCGCCAACTGCCGCCTGGGACTATACAGGGTGCAACTACGTGGGGTTTGATGTTGTCCGAGATTTTTACGGTGAAATTGTCGAAGATCATAGTTGCCAGCAGTGCACAACTGCCGACCGTACTCCCGCAGTGTTTCAGCACGACCCCAGTGACGGTTATAGAGACCGGCCTGAAGATCAGGAGGACGCTGAATGGTTGCCAGATGATAACTCATGTGCAGACAGCGAGCCTTTGGAGTACGACACCGATGCTGATGTCGGTCCTGATGATTTGTCTGGAAGCAACGATTGCGATACTGCTGACAAAAATCGTGCGACCTATCGCAGTGCGGTACGAGAATTGTATCAACCTCCATTGAAAGGATATCCTCCGCATGGCACATGGGACGTGGACGGAAGGTATCTATATACTCGAGACCGACGTTTTCAATACCTGAAAGACAGGCTGCAGGATCAAGAACATGGCCCACCTCGATTCCCGCTGGAGCATATCGCTAGCCCTACTTGTCAAAGTGTGCAGGGTATCAACGGTAATAAGCTGAGCGTAGCGGAGATGAAGGGCTGCCGGAACCACAGGTTCCTCCTACCAAGGCCATCTCATTGGGTGCCACCTGATTGGAAGCCTGAAGCTGTCGATGGTATCTTCGAAAAAGACAGCTTATTTGTGCTTTCGGGAGAAGCAAATGGTTCCTACGCCTCGATGGCGGGCCAGTTTGTCTATCCGCCACGCTACGGACTTGATAGAGTCCCGGTATCCGCTGACACCGCCAACCAGGACTGTTGGGTAAGTGTCATTCAACCCACATTGCTACATGCACACGGCTTATAGGATCAAGGATTGCGGTTCATGGCAACCACTCCCAGTTCATTCTTATTGTCTTGATATATACGCCAAAGCATCGTATCGCAGGCTAGGTCGTGTTGATTTGCATGATATTTGGCTCTGGCGGGAGCTGTGCGGCAATCCGGCGAGGTTTGAATTCGCAGATGAGTTGAGTTCGCCTTATCCTGGCATTGGGAGAGCAAATGAGATTGATCCCTTTCTCCACCATGTTGATAACGAATGGATGGTTGCAAACCCTGTGGAGATACCAGGACTAGCAGAGGCGCTGAAGGACTGCCTCATCAGTGGTACCTCCGGAGCGGTAGTGCAAAAAATACAGTCGCCCCTACTCGAATTGCCGGCCGAACTTCTCGATAACATTTTTGTTTTCTTGAATGACCTCAGTGTTGATGCAATAGCAGCCACCTGCCGCACATTTCGCCGTCATGCACAACCTCTGTACCGACGCCGTGTTACTAGGGACATGAGTTGGCTCTGGGAAGTCCTCGAAGGCCGACCGTATCCAGCGTCGCCAGATTGGCCGGTAACCTGGGACCCATGTAACCCGCCCGGTCTTGTTCCACCTGAGTTACCCCTCGAGTTAAAAGCACGGAAGGAGGAGGCTGAGATTTGGGCGCAAATTATAGCTGATGATCCAAACATGAGTGATGTTGGTAGCGCCGCGCAGTTAGTCAACTTCATCCGCAGAGAGGCAATACTAGGTTCCTACCGCGCAAAATTGGATTGTTCGCTTCATGAATGGCAAAACTTCCGCACAGAAGCTGAGGGCTGGATATGTTCACTGCCTCCAAATGGCCACCAGCACACAGAAGATATAGATTGGGTCCATCTATGGCACTCCTTCACTTCAGAAAAGACTCTTTTACCGGGCATACGCAATCGTGTGCGCATCTGGAGGGAATGCGAACGGATAGCAAGCTTCATCTACCGATTGAGAGATTCAAAAAAATGGGGCAAAAGCAAGGAGCTTGACCGTGAAATAATGGACGATGTAAACAATCCCTGGTGGGAGGAAGCCTTTGGAGCAATGCAAGACATGCTTCATGTTGGGTTCTTAAGGAAACGTGAGTGGGAGTTCAACTCAGCCGAAGAGGATTTGTAATTGGATACTTAAAAACTAGTCATTTTATGGCCATCCTGAACATCTGGAATGTGTGGGACACTCTAAAACTCTCTGAAGTACTTTGATGTCTCCAAGCCAACTCGGAGTGGTAGTTCCCCTCGTCCTTCCAGCCTCCCCGTCGCTCAGCGCAGCCGGTGTCAGGATCGCACGGGATCTTGAATGTGGTCAGCGACTTTCACATTAAGTGCTCTTTGCATTGCCCGCGCTCTACAGGCGGGTGACCGCCGCCTTTCGTGAAACACTCATCACTTGCAGCCGCGGGAGATCCCCTTACGCATGACGCTCAGTCTCCTGGCGCGGAGGTCGCAGCAACCGTATGGAACAGGTCAGATGGCACTGCCTTTCTTGGTATTACCTTGGTCGATGGCTACGATCTACCTCTCACGGATTCGATCGAGATCTAAGCGTGGATTGGAAGGATCCGGATCACCCTTAATTATAACGATATTCGGTCTTTACATGGAGGTGCGGTGGGAACTTTTAATGTAAACTTGATTAGTTCCGTGAGAGTAAGAAGCTCTAGAGTCGTTATTACGATCAAATGGAGAGTTGTATAGGGCATGAAATGGCTACACTAGTGGATTTAGACCCGCACTGACTCATTAGCTACCCTGCCAGCTCTCCCTGCCCCCAACCCACAACAATGTCTGCATGTACCTAAGAGCCAGTTGTTTATGACTAGGTATTACTTAATCAATATCCAATCTCTATAATTTTGGCAATTCTCCTATGGACTCGGATGCCTCAAGCTTGGTGGCAGAGTTTTGTGGTGAGAAAACTTGGTCTACCTTCTCTCTGCTATCTACGCTCGCTGTTTATATACGGTATATGCTATCTTAAGGTGACTGGTTAACTATTCAACTACAAACCCTCACTTCGTCAATTGTCTTTACAGGATACTCATATCTAATTTCTTACCGGAACTACCACGTCAAGTGTCGCAGATATGACAATCTTCATATATCTATGAACCTAAAAAGCTTTGAAGAAGAACGGTAGAGGAAAGGTTTATACAGTAGAACGTACTGGCCTTGGTAGAAGTACTTAATATACGAGACATAGTATGAACATCTATAATTACGTAGTGAGTAGGACAACTAGCAATGGTATATTAAGTGGGATGAAAAGAGTAAGTTTAGGCGTCGTGTCAGCGATATTGATCAGTTTGGCTAAATATAACTACGCGAATCTGTCCACAGTCCGACCGAACAGAAAGTGAGTAATATCAAGTACTTCTGCCAAGGCCAATAGATGATTACTAACAGAATACTCGTTAACATGAGTATCGAAGGCAAGAAACTATGGTTCGAGAGCAGCTACTCGGATAAAGTACTTGAGTGGAGGGACAGAAACCAAGGGTGTTAGTTCTTAGCCAGGTGATCTAAGCCAGAATCCTTGGATATCAATTTATCCTATAGATGGTGAGTTGATAGTGAAGAGTGTGGTATGAAGAGTCGACTTACCAGTATTGACAAGGGGATGAGCTTTGTGAGCCAGTAGATGGTCGAGGCCATCTGTCCTCTCCACAGCTTTCCCTGAGCACCACCGAGGACATCATCGACGACCTTTTTGGCAAATGTTTCAGTGGGCATGCGAGTATGACCGTCTTCCCCTTTAGCAAGAGCCACGATCTCTTTCTGAGCAGGTTTGAAGGGAGATGTATCTTGGAGCTTTGGGATGGCGCCGTTGGTCATGATGTTGGAGGCGACGGCTCCCGTGACTAGGGATATGACACGGACGCCTAGAGGGGCCATTTCTAGGCGCATAGTCTCGCTCAGTACCTCAGCGGCAGCCTTGGAGGCGCCATAGAAGCCCATCCAGGGAGTGTGCACGTGAGCAGCGATGGAGCAGACGTTGACAATTGTTCCACTGGCGGTTGTGATGAGTGGGACGAAAGCCTGGCAGACAGCAGCAACGCCAAAGACGTTGACCTCGAACATAGAGCGGGCAGCATCAAGGTTGGCTTCAATGGCAGGAGTGATATACTGGGCGCCCGAGTTGTTGATGAGGATGTCCAAGGAGCTACCAGTGGTCTTGCCAACTTGGGCAGCGGCAGTGGCAATACTGGCTTGCGAGGTCACATCGAGTTGCAACAGGGTAACACGATCAAGGTTGGCCAGGTGAGCCATCCTGTCGAGGCTGCGGGCGGTAGCGAAGACATGCAAGCCACGGCGGTGGAATTCGAGGGCAAGTGCTGAGCCAATGCCGCCAAGACTGCAGCCGGTGATGAGGACCGTCTTGGGCGAGGGTGTCATGACGGCAGACGGGTGAGGCGGAGGGTTAGGGCGATTGAGAGAGGCATGCAGATGGAAGGGCAGGCAGATATGGAAACGTCGGGTATGGTGGTGAATAGTCGAGATACTACTCTGCTGCTAGGCGTCGACCGTGCCACTCGGGACCGGGGCCTTGAGTTCACCCGCTCTCTCTAGCCTTTGGTCGGGACTAGTACATAAGTAGATATAGTACGGTGTAGTACATACGATTACATTGAGGATACATGGCGAATGACTCGGCCTGTTCACACCCTTTTCCCCGCTTCCTCAGTCGGCGTGCACTTGTTTGGGCACGGTTCGGCGGAACTCAAGCCCCGGAAGGCGGTTCGTTGCCGGCGTGCGCATGCATCTGCGTCGCTCCACAGCTGTGTGGCTTGCTCCCTTATCATCCACAGGACTGGTGGCCATGGCCGTCGTCACCAGCATCATGAGGCCGCCCATGGGCCTGAGTATAAGGCTTTCAATCTGGCGTCGGCCATGCACAACCTCCGCAGCACCAACTCAGATCCACCCACGACGGCCGCGCCCTTGATAGGCTTGACGAGGCGTTCGAGCTGCTGGACCTGGAGGAGCAACAGCGCGCGCATATCACAACGCCCCACTTGCCTGGCGCGTTGAGGAAACAAATGCGTATGGCGCTTCTATTGGTACCTCCTCTTTTCTTCGCCAGTCCAAGCCGAGGACGCGCCAGAGTTCCGGCCGCAACGTTCGTGTGTTGTATTCTGACATTGCAGCGTTCGGCTTCAACGACTAGAGCGGAATGCTGGAAAGACGATGCGGAATGCCATGCTTTTTGTTTTCTCCATTGAGTGTTATCGCTTCGCCATTTAAGGCTTGTGCTCGGCGACAGTGTTGTGTGAGGTTTGCGACAATCAAGTACATGTCTGATGCGTCGGTGATGGAGTGCGATGCGCATATTGAAGGCAGATACCAGCCAGGAATAAAGTTGACTTGAATTGTCATGATGCGAGATTTGGTCCAGATGCCAGCCAACGGTGCGAGGATTTTGTCATCGAGCTTGCTGGTCGGCATGCTGGCCGCCATCAATTCCTCGTACGTGTAACTCCATTCCGTTTATGAGAAGCCACGACAAAGCCCTCGAAGACGAAATCCTCGAACCCGTCTTCACATCAATGTGATAGCAGGCCGACCGCGTCCGACTACCAATCAAGGCTTAGGTGCATACCTGGACCGCGAGAAAGACGTTGGAAAAGCGTATGTTTATTCTTCAGCCCCATCTCGTGACCATCCTGCTCCTCATTTACTAAATCCAACACGGTTCGCTCTCCGCCTTCATGCGCTTCAGCGTGTGCCTACACCTCTCCTCTTCCTCACTCTCTCAAATGCGGCCCTTTGAGCAAAACTGCCCTAACTAAATCTCCGCCATAAACGACACCTACAGCTGAAAGAAGGAGCTCAGAGCATTCAAACTCCTTCACGAGGAGGGTGCAGTGTTGTGCTCTGCCGTCAAAGTCTTTGCTGATAAGGCTGGGCTGGACATTGCGTCGTTGAAGCGCGTCTTATGGTCTATGATGAAGGAGTGGGAAATGGTGCACGATTACGTGTATGCGCAGCTGGTAGAGTCTGGGGAGTGCAATGCGGCGATGAGGCAGTATATTAAGAGGCTGGAGTAGCAGATGAGTGGTAATCAGATTTGGAGTATGACGACGTTTAGGTATCATAGCGCTGAGCCAAGCTGAGCATGGCAGAGAATAGAGTTTTTTTAGGTTGAGAATATTTAGCAAGTTTGTAGCAATGGCTGAGTTATGCGACAGATACACGGGATGTTGCGATGTAACTACTCACTTTGCGCAGGTCGGCCCCTCTAATTTTCGCAATAGTAGCTATTCCCTTAATAGTGAGCCGTGTGCTAAGCGAATTAAGCGGCTTCATATTCTTCTCGTTTACGTAGTGTAATTATAGAATACAAGTGTGATGCCAGGCAAAAGAATGACCATCTCATTGAGACGGGACGAGAGGAGTAGACGCAGCTTGTATGCTTGTGCTCATGCAGAGCGTTCAACCATATACCTTTCAAGAAAGCCACCAGCATACATCATCGCTAGTCGCTAGTCGACCTGCTGCTATGGGCGTAGCGTCAGATTTGTTATGGCAGCACCATGTTCTACACTAAGGGCAGTACATGGACATACACCACCATATGCGCATCGATTCGCGCTTATCAGCATGGTATCCGAGATCATGAGGGCATAGGAAGAATTTGCTACCGCATCTAATCCACCACTACTGTTTTTCATAATTGCTGCGTGCTTCGCACACCATTCCGTTTAAACACGAGCCGACAGACAATTAGGCCACCACTCACATTGCCAAGCTTGTCAATGACGCAACTAGCCAATGGCTAGTCCAGCACTACGACGCTACCACTATGACGCTGCAAGCAGAGGTATTGGAAGGCCCTCTTCCTCGGTAAACCCCACATGCTTTTGGTATAAGGAGTATGATTCTGTGCCAGGCACGCCCATAAGACACTCTCCGTCCATCATGTTACGCCACCTCCTCTTTCTCAGCCTGGTCCGGCTTGTCTCTGCCACGTGTGGGCCTGATTCTTTCGACTATGTCATTGTCGGCGGAGGTGCAGCAGGACTTGTTGTCGCGAACCGCTTGTCGGCAAATCCAAACACCACTGTTGCCGTGATTGAAGCCGGCGATTCCGTATACAACAATCCCAATGTGACATATGTTCCAAAGTCTATTGCCGAGTACGGACTTTTTATTGGAACTTCTACTGACTGGGGCTACATGACTGTACCTCAAAAACATGCTGCCAACAACACACTTCCATACTGGGCGGGAAAAGCGTTGGGTGGAAGCACGGCCATTAACGGCATGACGTATCTTCGTGCAGAGAAGGACCAGATCGACGCTTGGCAAGACTTGGGAAATCAAGAGTGGAACTGGGATATTATGTGGGAGTATTTTCTCACGCAAGAGCACTTTCAGCCGCCGACTGATCAACTTAAGCACAAAGGAGCAGTGTACGAAGCTGGCGCGCACGGAAATGGCGGTGACCTTGCTGTAGGATTTACCCTATATCTTGTTGGCCAAGGTTTTGCTCAGTTGATGAAAGAGACTTCCGAGGCAATTGGGTTTCCTTACAATCAAGATGCGAATAATGGCATCATGCGTGGCTTCAACACCTGGCCCATGACGTTGAGCGAGGCTGGGCCAACACGCGAAGATGGAGCAAGGGCCTTCTACTACCCTGTCGCATCGCGACCAAACTTACGCGTCTTTCTCAACTCTACGGCAAAGAAAATTGTCTGGGAACATGACAAGACTGCGGATGGAATGCTTGCTTCTGGTGTCGAGTTCATCACTGCAGGCAATGTTACCAAAGACATTCGTGCTGAGAAGGAAGTTGTTGTAGCAGCTGGTGCCATCAGATCACCGGCATTCCTTGAACACTCTGGTGTGGGCAATCCTGCTATTCTCGAGCCCCTCGGCATTGAAACAGTTGTCCCGCTCTGTTCCGTTGGCTCAAATCTGCCGGACCAGCCGCAGAACGGTATCATTTACTCTTCATCCACCAACTGGACTGGATATCCTACCTTTGTGACGTACTTAACGGCGTCTGATCTCTTTGGAGACGATTTAGATTCGATTACCCAAGAGGTCAGAGCCAACCTGAGCGCGTATGCAGCCGTCATTGTTGCCGACTACGCATCAAATACTATTTCAGTCGAGACGCAGGAGCTACTCCTAAAGCATCAAGTCGATTTGATATTTGATTCCAATAGCAAGGTCCCACTAGCTGAGCTGTTGTGGGCTCCAATAGGCAACAACATAGCTGCCCAGCTCTGGAATCTGTTGCCCCTCTCTCGAGGCTCCATTCACATCAATGCTACCGACCCAACGCTACCCCCTCAAATCGATCCTGCATTTTTTCAGCTACCGATTGATGCATACGTCCAAGCAGCAGCCGCGGTTCGGATTCGTGAATATTTCGCGACTCCGCCGCTCGCCGATCATGTCATCAGCGAAGTCTCGCCCGGTTTCGAAACTGTACCGCAAGGCGCAGGATGGAGAGACCAAAGTTGGGACGCCTGGATCAAGAAGACTCTCAACGGCAACTCACATCCTGCGAGTACTTGCGCAATGATGAGCCGGGACTTGGGTGGAGTCGTTGATTCCAAGGGCAAGGTGTATGGTACGAGAAACGTAAGAGTGGTGGATGCCAGCGCCTTTCCTACGCAGATATCTGGCCATCTGAGCGCAAGCGTATACGCAGTTGCGGGAAAGATTGCCGATGCGATGATCAAGGAGGTCTTGGCAGGCTAGGTCGTAATATTCCTTACTGTTGGTCTAGTGTATATCCAAAGAATACACCATGAAGCGCTTGTTGGAATAGCATGCAAAAAGAAACTAGGGATATGATAAGGCTGTAGTCAAATTGTTCTCGCAAAATACTGAGATTGTTCCTATTGTCGGTATCTGATGTCGCTCTAAATTCTCTGTGTCGTTTACTTTTAATACACATGCAGATTCGTTCACTTCCACTAGTCCCGAATACCACACTTATGTCATTTCTTCAATTACACACGTAAATCATGGAGATAGTATCAAGCTGACCGAATGCAAGAGTGTAAGCAAGCTTACATGCTAGACACCCATTTTCCACCTTCTCGCGCAACATTTAGTTTACTTGTCCATGTCACTGGTCAATCGACTGCTTCGGGCAGAGGTTCGCGCAATGCTAGCCCGATTCCGCATTTTACACTACGATCTCGAAATCATCATTGCAGATGAACTATTCTCAGTGGTAGTCACCGCCGCTCAACAGTTAAACGCGAATATTTCCATTTTGACAACCTGCAACCCCAAAAGGTGAGGTAGATACGATGCTAAACATGGACCGGTACGGCGTACACATCGTGAGTTTGGGAGATGCATTGAATTGCGCAGTGTCGAATGTAGACCCAAACTAAGTCAATGCCGATTATACCTGCTGTGTTTTTCGGACCATTATAATAACATGTTGGAAAAATTCTGTCTATTAGCAGCTTGATGAGATTATCTACTAGGGTACGATGCTGAAATCATGAAATGAATGGGAAAACATCTGGAATAACAAGCATTTTGTCATCAAGACTCTCAAGATCAACATGAAAACTTCCGCAATTTTCGATTCTATCGTTGTAGTCCACCTACTCGCCATAACAAACACAGGGATAAAAATCCTGGATCCGAACTACCTTGTGAGGTTCCTAGAAAACTTGCTTGATGGTTTGGTCGGGTGACCGGTCTATGGCTCTTTTGGCTACGTTCTATCCAAAAATTTGGATTATCTTTTTCTGCATCGCGATGAATAAATAATAATGCAAGGGGACATTGCAGATAATTCGTGTAACCATTCTGCCGAATTTGATAACTGGCCAGCGTACTGCGAGAAGGCATATTATGAATGAAGGGAGAAGGGTCTCAGAGTGGTAGAGTAGGATAGGAGATGGGTATCGGGGTCACGCCAAGAAACAATGTATGGGAAGGGCAAATCAGCGGTGAAGGGAGGGTGACCTGAAAGCCAAACCCCCTTTTCTATTATTACTAAATAACTCAATTACAAACTGTATATTCTCGCATTCAATTTCCATCTCCGTCCAAATCTCATCTAGTTTGTAACCCTCTCATCCGTTGTAGAAGTGCTTTCTGTGATCATCGTAAGGCTGAATCGTTCCTTTAGCCTTGCTCTGGAATGTGCCTATCTGTGAAGGCATTCGGTCGAGCTTTCGATAGACAAACGAGCATCTCCATTGGTTTACTAAATGATTTAATAATTAGTTTCGCGTCATGGAGAGATATAAAATTGATAACTTACCCTGAGTGGGCAACCAGAGATGGAATTACCCAAGTCTCCAATGGCTTTAAGTCCGCAGGCGGCAAGTGCAACAAAAACCAAGCCACTGGTAGTAGGTGAAGATTTCAGTGCAACGTGTGCCGCTGCACCGCATACGCCCACACTACCGATAGCTGCACCCGCCGCGCCACTAACGCATGTGTAGCAATTTCCAGGATGGGGAGCGGCAGCACAAGTCAAAAGAGCTGATCTGCTCTTTTGATCAATCTGCCTATCTTTTTCCTGGTCCGCCCTATCGATTGCTGCACTCAAGCCAGGATCCTGCCTTCGGAGTGAAAGCTCAGTCGTACCGACCTGAACTTCGGCGGATACCTCGAGTCCCTTCCTCAAAGTTTCTTCGTCGAGGTTGCCAGTGCACTGAACACCAGGGAAATGGGTGGACAATTCATTCTGGATAACCGCGCAACCCTCAAGCTCACCGGTAGAGGTGTTCTTCTGGGCGGCAGCATCACCTAGAACACAGGTGATACCGGGAACGTATTGAGCCACTTTGGGCCAGGTGTTTTCCCACAGAGCAATAGTATCGTCCAAGGATAACTCCAAATTAAGATTCGCACCGACAGCGTTGACATCGACATCGAGAGACGTGGCTTGAGCACTGAGAGCAGTGCCCAGGGCAATAGCGAGGAATTGGATACGAGCCATGGTAATGGTGATGAGAGGAGGTTTATGTAAAGATTGAAGGACTGAACTGTAGAGAAAGACTGAAGGGAGTTGGTAGTAATTGATGAGACGGTGTAGACTCCAATATTTATATGAATTCGGTCTTATCTCAGGTAAATCTTTTGCCAAGTCGGTGAAATGAAGACATGAGTCTCTCGGAAATTCAATTGTTCAATCAGATGAGGTGGCATGGGGGAAACTCCAGGCACGGAAGCCTAGGGCTGATGTTCATGCTATGGATACGAAAAAATCCCGAGTCTATCGTCTTCCAAGTACATGTAGCTGAATCATGTGAAGGGCTGTGAGAAGGGAAATAACGTGCCATGTAAGCACACTGTACCCAATTCAGGGACAAAGAACAGAGGATGGGTTGTCACTCGCACCTATTAGCGGACCGACTGGATAAACTGGATCGAAGGAAGAATGAATGCATCAACTACATCCGGTAGTAATTGGCATGTGCCCCACTTATTACTAGAGCGCCCTAGACACAACCCACAGGCTTACATATCTAAATCATGCCGAAGGTCGTATAAGGCGCGGTGAAATTAACAACTAGTAGCAAGATCTAGGACCGAGCGACATGTAGTAGTCGAACACTGGTGATAGTAAAAATTGCCTCACTGCTATTAAGCAAATTTTGGGGAGGTAGAAAGGGTATAAAGAGGTGTCTCTTTCCTGCTTGGAAACCTCATCACAACACACTTCAACATCTATATCCAAATCACCTCTTCATTCAATCTCTAAGTTTTAAACTTAATCACCACTATCTTCAAGATGCAATTCTCTACTGCCATCATTGCCCTTGCTATGGGACAACTTCTCCAGTAAGACCTGATCTTCAAGAGAACTTACGGATTTTCTGATCACCTTTCTATAGACTTGGAGGCGTAGCTGCTCTGCCCACCGAGATTGGAGTTGATGTCTCTGTTCCAAAGGTCGCTGCCGATGTGGCTGCCAAGGTCCATACCATCGAAAAGCGTCACGATCACACCGCCTGTGCCTGCCAGACCAGTTCCGGAGGTGAAATTGACGCCGCAGCTACGTCCAGGGTTGCGGGCTTCAACATGAACAGATGGGTTCTCGGTATGTTTTTGCTCACGCTTTTGAATATTTATCAGGTTGAGACTTACCCTAAATAGATCTCTTTGAGACTCAGCGCTTCCAGGGTGGTGCCAAGTTCACTGGCTACTACGTAAGTAATTCTCTTTATGCTTTTAACTTGAGGCTTACTTTGCATATAGATTCGTGGCAAGGACGGCGCGAGTGTGTCTGGAGAAGGCTTCTACAACGAATGCCGTCAAAACGGTGCTGCTGACTCTACTTGCTTCTAAGCAAATCATGTCATGGCAACGATCAATCTGATTAGATAGACAAGAGCGGAGCAGTGAACCAATTATGCTTGCGTATTGATCGAACTGGCCTTAGTAGTAGTGTTTAGTCTTCTCCTCACGTTATCTCCTAAAGACAGCGAATTTAATCAATCCACCTACCCCCAATTATGAGCGCATCCATTTCTCGGCTTCAACTGGTCATTAATAGGGAGTCTAGTCATCAGGATCAATTTTGATTATATAAGAATTGAACGCAGGGTATAGTTTTACAGGAAGGTGACGCGCATAAACAGGTAACGCCGTTCATCCTAACATTGCGCTACCATGGAATAGTTTACACTACGACGTAAAACTCTCAAAAAAGTCTAAAGAAGACGAGGCAGCCGCACATAGAGACTACCTATTAGAAAACACTAC